AGCGTCCCCAACACCACATCCACTACCCAACAGGCTCCCTCCTCGAAGGGAAATTGAACATCTCTTTCTACTCAACTCCCTCCGTCCCCAGCACCGCTTGCAATGATCAGCAGCTTTGCCTCCAACATCCCCCTCTACTCAACAGGCTGCCCCCCCAACGACGACCTGCAACATATATTTCTAGTCAACTCCTTCCGTCTCCAATGCCACACCCCACATTCAACAGACTTCGTCTCCAACACAACACCCGCTATCCAACAGGCTCCCTTCCCAAGATGAACTTGACCAGATCCTTCTACTCAACTCTCTCCGCCTCCAACCCCCCCCTCTTACTCAACAGCCTCCTTCTCCAACACCACACCCACTACTCAACAGGCTCAACAGGCTCCTTTCAAGACATTAACTTGATCACATCCTTCTACGCAACTCCCTCCGCCTCCAACACCGCACACAATACTGAACTGCCCGCGTCTCCAAAGCCACGCCTGAGTGCTTTTTTTTTGCATGGCTATCTATGTATTCAGACAGATACTTGGATCGTACGTTTCTCGCATTCACTGTTGTGGCTCATTATTCGAAGCTCTTTTCGGTTTCGAACACCATATTGCATATTCCACAGCCTTCGTCTCCGACGCCACACAGCCACTACTGAACAGGCCCCTTCCCCAAGAGGAGCTTGAAACCCCCCTTCTACTCAATCCCTTCCGTCTCCAACACCACACCCAGTACTCAACATCCTTCGTCTCCAACGCCACGCCCACTACCCAACAGGCTTTTTCCACAAACTTGAAAACGTCCTTCTGCGTAACTGCTTAACTCCCTCCGTCTCCAACGCCACGCCCACTGCTCAACAGCCTTCGTCTCCTATGGCACACGCGCTACTCGACCGATTCCCTCCCTAAGCTGGCCTTGAGACTATCCTTCCCCACAACTCCCTCCGTCTCCAACACCGCGCCAATACTCAACAACGTGCATCTCCAACGACACCCCCGTTACTCAACAGGTTAACTTGAAGACGCTCTTGTACTAAACTCCCGCCGCCTCCACCACCATACATAGTACTCAACAGCTTCCGTCTCCAAAACCACACCAACCACTCAACTGGTTGTCTCCCAGTGGTGACCTGGAACATATCATTCTACGCAGACCCCTCCGCCTTTAACGCCACGCCCAATACTCAACAGCCTCCGTCTCCAACCCCACACCCACTACTCAACAGACGCCCTCCCCAAGATGAGCCTAAATTTGCTCTTCTACTCCACAACCTCCGCGTTGTGCATCACAGCTGGCCATGATTTTTCGTTTTCTCTTCCAAGAGCCAAGAGGCACACACATATACACCCAACAGATCTCAAGACGGCCCTACAAGGCCCCAGCACGGCCTGATAAGAGCCCAACAGCGGCCAAAGATGGCCCAACGACGCCCCCCGACGCATTCGAAATCGTGGCCCAGTCGTTCAATGATGCCGCGTTTGAAGCAGGGTGGCCCGAGGAAGCCTCCAGAGGACTTCAGAAGCTGCCCGGGAGGCCTCCAGAAGGCACCGCGGAGCTCTTATCAACTTTCGCGAGGCACCCCCAAGAGGCTCTCCAAGGAGGAGCCTCCGCAAAACGAGCTGAGGGTGGGGAAGAATTCGTAGGGCAAGGGGAGAATGGGACATGGAAAAGAACGCATGACTGAAGGAGGAGAAATAGCATTGGTATGGCGATGCTGTCGTAAAATACAGGCAACCATGAGTTGTCGCTATCTTAATTTGGTTGCCTCTCATTCCGCGTGCATGCCAAACCTGAAGGACGAGGGTGCAAGACGCGAAGCGCCACTGCAGCCCTGTTTTCATTTGTATATACACTGATTTAGTTAATGCATTGCTCTTAATATTGCCATACAGGCACATTGGTATGTATATGTGTGTATGTTCATGTATGGCTGCGCGTGTGAGTGTGTTGATGTATTATAACATGTTCATTCGTCTCCTTGAAGCAATGGCTTTTGATGAGAAGTCTGATGGGCAAGACTAGATACACATATTTTTCACCTGTTGCGGTTGTTACAAGTGTCGCATATCAGGACCCCTAGGATGTAAAGGAGGGAGCGGGACCGATTCGCCCCTAGACGTTGCTTTAGACTTTAAACGTTGCTTTAGACGCATGTTGTCGGTGCGCAGTTTGGATATGCCATCCCATCTGATGCGCGCACTGCCACATTACATGGTGTATTTGCGTATCGTGTATGCGTGGAATGATGACGCAGTCATGTGGTTTTGGTAGTCACAGGGTGCGCGGGCCTCAGGCAGAGGTTGGGATTGACAGGTGTGTATGAATTCGTCTGCCAATGACTTCGCAGCTTGAGCATATGATGCTGCGGACAGGTCTTGTCCTGGAACACGGTTTCCAAAATGAAGGTTCGACCTTTGTTCTGGAGTTTGGTTTCCTGCATTCTGGACTCTCCGTCTTCTATTCTCGAGGATTTTGTAAATATGGAAGTGTCTGGGACGTTCCGCCCAATGTGTGTGTGTGTGTAGTCTATGATCATCAGTGCCCTGGCTGGGGCGCGCAGCGGGAACTCTGTGTGGCACGACAGGTAATACATATCAGTTTGGTGTGGATCACGATGCAGTGATGACGGCCTGGATGCTGAAATTGTTTATTTTTACCGCCACAGCTTCTAGACCTTCATGAGTTTCTAGAAGCTCACGGCGGGGGGGGCTTTTGGATAACTCGTGGGTTTCTAGAAATCCAAGTGGGGGAGAGGAGTCTAGACACTTGGGGGGACGAGTTTCTAGAATCTCAGGGGTGCGAATTTATTGAAACTGGAAGACGGGTTTCCTTCAAGTCGTGAGTTGCTGAAGCTGTTGGTGCCAGTACTTGAAAAAACCCTTGGGCCGATTTTGCAGAAGTGCGTTACTGTATTTTCTACGAGTTGAGACAGGCGAGTTTCTGGAACCCCACGAGCTTCAATAACCTCCCAAGGTGGGAGGGGGACGGGCCATAAAGCATGCTCGCCCGAGGTCCCTGATTTTCGTTGGGAGAGTTTTAGCAGCTCGTGGGTTTCTAGAAACTTCCTGGCGAGGCGAAGGACTGCGCGGGCAGCTTGTTCGGCAGAGTTTCTAGAAACTCGGGGGGCAAGTTTCTTCGTTGTATACGTTCTTCGGTTTGTAGGCGCTCCCGGTGGAGGCAAGGGACTGGGTGGGTCGAGTTTCGAGGAGCTCTTCAGTTTTTGAGAACCCAGGGTAGTGTCAGTTTCCAGAAACGTAGGGTGGCGAGTTCGTAGAAACTTCAGACTGTCCAGAAACTCAGGGACCGACTTGAACACATGAAAATCCATAGTACCAGGGGCGTGTGCGTTCAACAGGTCACGATATTCGAATTTCTATAAACTCAGGGGGGCGAGCTCCCAGAAACTCAAGAGCTTCTAGAAACTCACTCACTATCATCACCATCCTCATCATCGTCATCATCACACACTCACACACTCATCATGACCATGATTATGATCAACATCATCATCATCCTCATCACCATCACCATCACCATCACCATCATCATCATCATCATCATCATCATCATCATCATCATCATCATCATCATCATCATCATCATCATCATCATCATCATCAGCACCAGCATCATCATGAGCATCATCAGCATCATCAGCATCATCATCATTATCATCATACTCATCATCATCATCGTCATCATCATCATCAACATCATCATGATCATCATCATCATCATCATCATCATCATCATCCTCAGGCCTGAATTTGGAGGAAGGATCCGGCGGGAGCCTCGTCTGTGAGTGAATTGCGAGGTAGTCTCTGGCGGGAGCCTCGTCTGGGAGTGAACTGCGAGGAAGTCTCAGGCGGGAGCCTCCTCCGTATGGGGCCCGCAGCTGATGTTTTTTTTTCCGAGCGGGTCATCCTCAACCTTGTGTCTGTCGTCATTCTTGGGCTCCACGAGCCTGAACATGGAGGGAGTATCGGGCGGGAGCTTCGTCTGTAAGTGAATTGCGAGAAAGTCTCAGGCGGGAGCCTCGTCTGGGAGTGACTTGCTAGGAAGTCTCAGGCGTGAACTCCCTCCCTCAGGTCGCACAGGTCCCAAAAGGTTTCACACAGGTACCACCGGTCTCACAGTTTCCACAGGTCACACAGGTCGCACAGATCCGCAGGCCCGATGCAGGCCCCGCAGGTCGCACAAATCTTGGTATGTTTTCGCCTCGAGCACAAGTCCTACAGGTCGCGCAGGCCCCGTAAAGTCCCACAAATACCAAGGGGCCCACAGGTCCCACAGGTCCCACTGGGCCTGGAGGTCCCACAGGTCTCACAGGCCCCGCAGGTCCCACGGGCCCCGCAGGTTGCAGGTCCCATGGGCTCCATGTAGGTTTCACAGGTCCAACAGGCTCCATCAGTTTCGGGGGTTCCACTGGTCCCACGCGTCCCACGGGCCCCGCAGGTCCCACAGGTCCCACACGGCCCGCAAGTCCCACAAGTCTCACCGGTCCCACAGGGCTCGCAAGTGCTACGGGCCCCACAGGCCCCGCAGGTCCAACAAGCCCCACAGGTCGTACAGCTCCCACGAGTCCCACAGGTCTCAGAGGTCGTATTCTGGTATCCTGGCATCCTGTCATCATCACAATCGTTACTCGTTGATGATGGAGGTTCTCATGCACACTAAGGAGATTATCATGTGGCATCCTTCGGTCGAAGTAATTTTTCAAAATCTGTGGAATCGATCACGAGGGTTGATTTGATATGAAACAAACGATGGCTATTCGCTTTGGTTTTTCGGGTTCCTCTGGAATCTCGTGCCGTATGCTTTTCTGACTCAGACTTTTGCTGAGCTGACTACTTGGTATGGCCGAGCGGTTTCCGCAGTGCGACCCTTCCCACCGTGCTGGGCTGTGAATGTTGCCGCCAAGTCCAGTGCTTCTGGGGATGCTTGCACTACCAATTCAGAACAGGGCGTGCCGTATAATACTCAGTTTTACGTGGGTCCAATTTGAGGCCGTGGCGCACGTGAAGAGGCTCATGCACGGGAAGGATGCGGTCGACGTGGCAGGATGGGCACTCAAGGTTGCCGCTCTATCGGGTTGCTTCTGTATGGAAGTTCAAGGGCTTGAACCCTAGGTGGAAGGAGATGTAAGCAAATTGAATGGACAGGGTTAAGCCAATGCCAGAACATGCAGACGATAAGGTTTGGATCTATGACGAATGCTTATGGCTTTTGCAAGCTGGGACATCGCAATTTCCACCCCACAGTCCAGAACGAGTCGCGCAGCTGCTGTTTCGCTGTACTGAGTTCTGCGTAATGCGGGCAATCTCGCTCAGAATCTTTCGTGTCCACGCTTTAATGCTCTGCGCAATCGCATGCGCGATGATCAAATCGCGTAGGGAGGCGATCCCTTCGGAACCTTAAAGCGAGCAGTTGCCATGCGTATTGCTCTCGCGCGTGCAAGGTCAATCAGAAGTTTCCGTGGACAGAAGAATTGCACTTTCAGGTGCTTCTTCTTTGTATTTTCTTACTCCTTGCCGCTTTCCGTTTTCTGGTCTCTTCCTTGCCAGCCGTAGTAGTGTTTTTTGTGCGAGTCCTATTTTCGATGATCTCTTGTCATTCTAGAACTTATGCTTCGACCTCTGCCTTGCCGTTCGTACACTGTCCAGGCGCAACCTTTCAGAGAACCTGGCGCAAAGTGCAAAGGCGCTAACTTGACGGTCTGCCCTGACAACAGGCCCGCTTGCAATCTTCTTTTCTTCCATGCCATTGGTACATCCAGGATTGTTGCCTTGGCTGCGTCATCGTGTTGCTTTGTAGAGTCATTTTTCGTGATGATGTAGCGTCAGTTGATGTGGTCATTTGGCCGCCCAGTCAACATGTTAACTAATTGAGCTGTCGAGGTGCTGTCCTGCTTCGAATAGCGATCTAGTCTACCTCCAGAGCTGCTGAAGCCTCAGACGCGGCAGGTGTCTGCTCAGGGCCATCAAGCATTTTTACGGAGGGGACGGATTGCATGCTGTCGGGAAATTTGCAGCTAGATGAGCTACATCATGACTCGGACATGGCATTCAGGGAAGCTTGCATGCAGCACGTAATGCCAGCTTGTGATTACCAAATGACCGGACCCCCCTGGCTGATGAATAGAACCCGCGGGGCGCGATACTTTTTAAATCACGCGCGCAAGGGGGGAGGAGGAGAGAGGAGGGACAGGGATGAGAGGGAGGAGAAGGAGGAGGACGAGGAAGAGGAGGATGAGGAGGTGGAGGAGGAGGAGGAGGAGGAGGAGGAGGAGGGGGAGGAGGAGGAGCAAGATGAGGAGAAGGAGGAGGAGGAGGAGGCGGAGGAGGAGTAGGAAGGGGGAGGATGAGGAGGAGGAGGATGAGAAGGAGGAGGGGGGGGGAGGAGGACGAGGAGGAGGAGGAGGAGGAGGAGGACGAAAGGCTCGGGAAGGAAAGGGGGGGGTTGCGAAGCCTGCTGCGCGCAGCTGGTTGCGGTCGCCCCGCCGAAGGGCCAGTCCTCGACGCGTGGCCGCTTTCGGCGCCACGAGGCGCTTGGAAAATCGGCGATGTAAGCTGCTTGGCAAATTCCCCCTTTGCTGCGCCCAACGTTCGTCCAGCCCGCCCTGCCTGCAGGGCCGCATCGGTTCGACAGAAAGGGGAGTGCCCTGGCTCGCCCTTACCTGCAAACGCCCCCCCCTTGCCCCTCGTTGGCGGCCGGGCGTCGGCGCTATTCACCGGCGCCACCCAGTTGATTTTCAATCTGGCAGGCGCCACCCATCGATTCGCCTGAGCAAGGGATTTTTTTTTTCAAACACGCGCCCCCCACGGATGTGTTGATCACAAGCTGACATTCTGAGGTTTCTGCCACATTGCCATAGCTTCGTCTACGGTTGGCAAGGGCAGGACGTTTGATCAACAAGCCAGAGGTCGAGATCGACTGGGGCGCTGGGGTGATATGGGGAACTCGTTTCTTCTTTCAGCCGTAGGTGTAAGTAAGCACAAGACGTCATGAGACAGAGATGAAAGGAAATGAAGGGGGTCGGGCTTGGATGCAAGATACCTTGGTGGGAACGGCAGTATGTTTCGATGCGTGTTCAATCCAAATCACAAAGCTTGACATGTGTTGCCCGACATTCATTGGCAGTGAATGTACGCCGTGCCTCGTCTGTCCCATTGTTCCCCATAGGCATTCATGTCGTGCCGTATCGTCGCGCCGGCTTCAATTAGGGTAATGCGAGCGTAGCTTCGTTCAGTTGCGCTGTGTTTGGCTTGTCTTAGCGCAACCCAGCTGTAGAGCCCTTCGTGGACCTTCAACATAGCACAGTTAGGGCGCTCGTGGAGCAGTTCGAAACCGATTTGAACCTTTTTGAGGCCCTGCCGGAGCTCTCTGGGGGCCCCTTTGAGAGCCTTCCACGTTGTTGGGGCCATGCCGCAGTTGGCCATCGACCAAACAGGGGAGGTCTACGTCATAGAGCCATAGAAATCGTTCAGTAGGGCCGTCTTGGGGCCCGCTTGGGAGGCCTGTAAGAATTTTGACAATGGCACTCTCGGGGCCGCATTGAGGTTCCAGATCGGAGGTGGAAAACACGAAATGTGGTATTTTCCCAAACAGTGCTTGTACTTAATGATTATCTTTCGCGTTCTAAGTGCGCCAATCAGAAATCTCCAGCAAAAACATTAACTTTCATGGACCCTGGACGAGACTTTGGTATTTTATTGGAATTATTTTTCTCCGTAGAATGTACGTATTTTTGGACCCGGACGACGGTCTGAGGGAACGGTTGGAGTGACGCCCATTTTCTCTTACCGTGCAGATTTCTTTAACTCTGAGCAGGGGTGTAAGTTCGTCGTCGTCGTCGTCGTCCGTCGTCGTCGTCGTCGTCGTCGTCGTTGTCGTCGTCGTCGTCGTCGTCGTCGTCGTCGTCGTCGTCGTCGTCGTCGTCGTCCGTCGTCGTCGTCGTCGTCGTCGTCGTCGTCGTCGTCGTCGTCGTCGTCATTCCTGGCCGGCGCTTCGGACCTTTGCCGCGGGCGCCGCCCGCGGCCGCCCGCTGCCGCCTCGTCGCCGCCGTCGTGCGCTGGCCCCATGTCTTCCGGTGCCTCCTACCTTGGTCGGTGGCCGTGTCCGCCCCTTGCCGCCTCGTCGCCGTCTCGTGCGCCGAGCGGCTCGCTGCTGCCGCCGCCGCCGGCCGCCAGGGGCCGCGCGGGTGCCGCGCACGGCGCGCCGCCGAGGACTCGGCGTGCGCGGCGTCCGTGCAGGGCCGGGTCTGCTCCTGTCGGCGGCGAGCCTCGTCGCCGCCTCGTGCGCGGGGCGGTGGTGCCGGGCCTTCGCTCGGTGGCCGCTTGGGGGGCGCCCGTCGCCGCCGCGTGCGCCGCCGCGTGCGCCACCGCACGCCCTGCTCCACGCTGCTCCGAGCGCAGGGCTTCCACCACGTCGCTTGCCCCGTACCCGGCGGTGAGCGAGGGGGGGGGAGCGAGGAGGAGAAGGCCTCCTCAGAAGGCGGTGGGGCTTCTCGGAGGCCCCCGGCCTTCTGTGAAAGGTTTTCGGTGTCTTCGGGGATGGCTTCCAGAGAACCCCTCGGCGGGCCCCTCGGGAGGCCGAGGGACTTCCGAGCCTTCTGGGAAAACCCGCCCCTTCGCACTTCCCCCCCAGGCTCGCCGCCGAGAAGGGTCTGCGTGAATGGCAGGATTTCGTGAGGCGTCCCGCCTCGTTTCACGCGTGCAGTAGTTAGTCGACTGTAGCATCCTGTCGTCCCAAGCGTCTATCCAAATCTCCTTGTCCAGGCCGGCTAAATGAGGCTGCAGGATCGCGCAGCATCGCCAATGCAGCGGCAATACAGTCCGATCCAGATGCATTACCCCGACGTCGCTAGTGCATCGCCGATGTATCGGTGATGCGGCGCGATCCCCCGACTCCATTTGGTCCTTCCCAACGCCCAACTTGGAGGCGTCCGCGAAAGCGTATGCAAGGGTGCATGCAACATGTTTCCCAGAAGCGGAATCTTGTGGTCCGTATCATAAGTGTATGTTTTCGTATGACTGCATGCGCAGGTGAGCAGCAGGCCTGAGTCCTTTCCGTCTGCATGCGTCCGTGTTTCTTCGTGGCTCATGCTTAGAATATGCTCATGCCCACGTGCGTGCACATCGCCATAATTGCCATTCTGCGTAAGCGCCGTTTTTGGTGTTGCTCGCTGCGGTGCAGGGCTTTAGGTGGGCTGGGTGGCGGCTGGGCGTCTTAGGCAGAGCCAGGCCTGGACGTCCGTGGCAGTTTGGAATGCGGGCATGTTGGCGGATCAAGCCCAGCGTTGTTTTGCAAAGTGCATTCTAGTGTGCATGTGCATGCGTTTGCTTGTGAGCGTGCGTTCGTTTTGCTGCGCGCCACTGAGCTCGAATATTCAAATGGTGTCCGAAAGGCGGCCATTCATCAGTTCTGTTACTTGATAATCTGCTTGGCTCGACGTGAAAATTCTTCCGCTCGAGAGGACGCATGGAGCATCCTGGTAATTGTTTTACGCGTGCAACATTGCAAGTAGCAAGAAGCATCCTAAAGACACGGAGGGCGATGATAGGGGATTCGAAATGTGAGGTGAAGTTGACTGACGCGGATGCCGTCAAATACCTGATCAATCTCATCGGGGAGGGGTTTCAAGCTTGCGTGCCCAATACATAGCTCAGCTTGTCAGTTTTTTCGAAGGCAGGAATTTCGAGTCGGAGTCGTTCATTTGAGGCCATGCGGAAACATCAGGAACATGTTGCCACGAATCTGATGACGTGAAGTAGAGAGGTGGAGAAGTGGCTTCTACGAGGCATACAGAACGACGCGCCCGTGCAATCCCCTTTTGTTCATTGTCTGTGCAGTTTTGGCGTGTGTGTGTGTGTTTGTGTGTGTGGTATCATTGTGTAATAAGAACTGAATGTGTTGCAGCTTAGAGCAGCATGCTTCAGAAGAGACTGCCGAGCACTTCACTATACGACTGTCATCGAGTACGCACTCTATGCTGTGCCACGAGTGTGCCGCGGGCAAGAGAGCCACGCGAGGCATACATCTATGCGTGCGAGGCGAGCACCAGCTGCTTCACATAATAGTTGTAAGGGAGTCCAGAAAGGGCTTCGGCGTCGAGGAATCGAGAGGCTGACATCTCTGCCTCAGCGGAAGGCGACGGAAGGCCAGCGGACGCCAGCGGAAGCAAAACGAGGCGGGCTCCGCCAGCGGAAGCAGGTGGAAAGCCAGCGGAAGCCAGCGGCCCAAGTGATGTCAGCATTCTTGGATCGCGATGTCCGAAACTGGCCAGACAGAGCGGCAGAATCGCAAGCGGGTGCTGTAACGATGGCGCGGGCGGCGAGGACTTGCACCAGCCGCTCCATTTCGGCTGCCAGGATCGCCGCTGGGAGCATCAGTGCCCCAAGCGAAGCGGCGAGCATTGGGTTGTACATGAGATTCTTAACATGCCGGCTACCACACGAGAGCGGAGGAGACGGAGAGCGAAAGAGATGACAGAGCGGGAACATTGTGGAGAGTGGACGCACGTGTGTGTGTGTGTGTGTGTGTGTTTGTGTCTGCGTGTGCGAATGTGTGTCTGTGTGTGTGTGCCTTTCTCTGCCAAGTCGGGAGCGCATGCTATGAGCTTACAACCTCTTTGTAAGTAGATATCGGAGCTTCTCGCAGACCCCTTCCTGCGAGTGAGCCCACGAGCCGCCGCAGAGCTCCATCAGTTCGTCGAGGCCGTCGCCACGCACGACCGCGACTTGAGCAGCCGCAGCACCCGACCCCCCACTTAACAGTGTCCCTGGCTCATGTTCTTGGCCTCGCTCGTCTGAGCTTCTTGCTGACACTTGCCAGGGTCTCGGGCCCGCTTGGGCTCATGGACGTGCAGCAGGACATCCGACTCACGCGCTGCCTGCCCATGCCCACGACTTGGGCCTCTCGCCCACGTTCGTGAACGCGTCCGCACCTCCTCTTCTGGGCGATTGCGAGGGCCCAGCGCCCAGGAGGCACATGCGCGAACTGGCCACCGATTTGCCCCGCCTGCCCGCGTCCTGTCGCCCTGCGCTTTTTGTGGTTGCTTCTGGCATCTCCCTTGCTCGCGGTGTGGCGCGGCCGCGACGCTGCCACCCATCGCGTGCTCCGTCCCCCGTTTCGGGTGTGGCCACGGTCGCCGGGGACTTCCAGGGCCTTCGGGGCTGTGGAGACGTGCAAACTGGTCAGCGGTGGCCCTGCGAGGTCCCCCCCAAGACGGTCTCCGAGGGCTTCGAGCCAGCCGAGATGGCCCCAAGACGGTCCAAGAGCCTCGCAGAGCGTCCCAGGAGAGCTCCACGAGGACCCCCAAGAGGACCCCCAAAACGCAGAAGATTTCCAAGAGGACCCCCAAGATTTCCTTCAGGTTTCGGAAGCGTCTCAGCTCTCCCACTTTTTCGGGCCTCCGGCGCTCCTGGGCTGCCCAAAGGCGCCCAAGATTGCTCCAAGACGGCCCAAAAAGTTTCCCAGAAGGGTTCCACAACCCCTGTCGAAATCAAACGCAAGTCTTTATCTTACCACCTCGCCCCCAAACGCAAGTCTTTATCTTACCCCCTCGCCCCCAAATTCTAATGCGGATGGACGCGCGCATTACGGCCCGCGGGGTCAGCACAAAATTGCAGTCGCCAGCGTCGGCGTCAACATTGAAATTGGGGGCCCGGGGGCGCCGCCACGTCGCGGAAAAACCTGCGCTTGATTTTCGTTGAGGGATGCAGGACAGTCCAAGAAGGCCCCTTCGACGGCCCCAGGTGCCCCCAACACGGCCTCAGAGGAGCGCACCGCTCCTTCCAGACAGCCCAAATCGCGGCCGAAGCATGCAGATGGACCACCGGCGGTGCCAAGACGTTGCAAGAAACACTTCGAGGTGGCCCAGGGGCCCAATAGCACCCCCAAACGCCTAACATGGCTCCAAGACGGCCCAACAGTCAGGAGGCCCCCACGACGCCCCAAGAGAATTATTCAAGGGCCAAAGAGGATGGTGCGATGGGCCGACATCCGCATAGCTAGGAGGACCAGGGTGCATGGCGCGAAGCGCCAATGCAGTCTTGCTTGTATGTGTATTGATACATCTTTCAATCTATGTTAGCAAGCGTCGGCCCCCAACCAATGTGCTTCTAGCAATGTATGTGGTGGTACCGATGTAGAACAGTATATGTGATGTAATCTAGGTGGAGCAAACTATGTGGCGCAACCTAGATTGTGCAATACAGGTTTCGTACAATCTGCAATCTATAATATGCAACATATGATGTGCAAAATATGCGGTGAAACCTATGTTGCGCAACATCGGTGGTGCAATCTATGTGGTGCAATTGATTTTAACAAACGAGTTGACACATCCCACGCTCTTGCAATCATCCCACCCACCCACCCGCAACTTGGCTTGCAAAACCAATGTGGTCACGATTGCGATGAGTGTTTGGAGTTCGCTGGCCCATCTCTGCGGCCGCGCCAACCCTAGCGCGCGCAGCGGCCAGCTAGTTTGGCGCGACCGACGCGGCCGCGGTGGCGCTGACTGCTGGGCGCATCCCAGCTGGGCGACGACACCGACGACGTCTCCAACGACTTCGACGCCGACAACGACGACGACGACGACGACACCGACGACGACGACGCCGACGCCGACAACGACGACGACGACGATGACAACGATGACGACGATGACGACGCCGACGACGACGACAACGACGACACTGATGACGACGACGACGTCAACGTCGCCGACGACGACGACGACGGCGGCGACGACGACGCCGACGTCGACGACGACGAAGACGACGACGACGCCGACGCCGACGACGACGACGAAAACGACGACGACGTCGCCAACGAAAACGACGAGGGAGGAGGGAAGACGACGACGGCGACAACGACGACAACGACGACAACGACGAGGGAGGAGGGAGGACGGCGACGACGCGAACGACGAAGAAGGATGAAGGACGGCGACGCCGACGACGACAACGACGAGGGAGGAGGGAAGACGACGACGACGACAACGACGACGACGACGACGGCGACGAAATAGGAGGGACGACGACGAGACGCGACGACGGACGACGACGACGATGAGGGAGGAGGAGGAAGGACGACCACGGCGACAACGACGACGGAAACGACCACGACGCCAAAGAGGACGACGACGACGAACACGAAGAAAGACAGAGGACGACGTAGGCGACGACGACGACGACGACGACGCGGGAGGAGGGAGGACGGCGACGACGACGACTACGACAACGCAAGAGCGCGCGCTCACGCTTTTGTTGATAGTCCGTGTTGCGAAACCTGGTGTTTTTGTAGGTTTTTTGGACACACGATTTTGAAATCATTCCGAAACTGATGGGTTTTCAAGGATTTCGACATACGCGCGTGACGACGCGCGCGTCTGCACTTCGTCCCGTTTTTTGCGGAGAGTTCTCGCGACGGCACACGCGCAAGGGCGTTCGACAGATTTCGACATGCGCGCGCGCGAAGCCCGTTTGGTAGCATTTTGTAAAAATATTGAAAAACCGATGGTTTTCTTAAGATTTCGCAAGAGCTTGCGCGTTTATTATTATTATTATTATTCTTATTATATATATAAATATAAAATAAAAATACATAAATTTGTATATCTATATATAATTATGTTTAATATATATATATATATGCATATATATATATATATATTAAACATAATTATATATAGATATACATATATATATCAAATCAGTGCTACGAGACCCAGTGTTTTTGTATGTTCTTTTGGAAACTCGATTGCGAAATCTTTACGGCACCGAAGGTTTTTGAAGGATTTCGGCATGCGCGCGCGACGACGCGCGCGTATCGTTTTTTTAACAACGGAACCCCAGGGGGACCGATACCGGCCCTTCTGGGATATTAAAGTCATATTTCGGATGGACATGTGGTCAGAATCATACATGATTTACATACCCGAAAGGGGGGCGGCGAACGCCGGGGGGGGGGAGGGGGTAGACCCTACTGTGTTTTTAGAAAGGAGAATTGATTTTCGTTAGCGAGTTGACACATTCCATGCTCTTGCAAGCATCCCATCCACCCACCCGCAACTTGGTTGGCAAAACCCATGCGTCGGCGATTGCGATGAGTGCTCGGCGTTGGCTGGTGCATCTCTGCGGCTGCGCCAACCCGAACACGCGCGCGCAGCGGCCAGTTAGTTCGGCACGACCGATGCGGCCGCGGTGGCACTGACCGTTGGGCACATCCAAGCGGGCTCTTCACTGCGAGTCGGCGACTTGGGTGGGCGTGGTATCATGGCAACGTCCACAGCAGTATACACGATGATGATAGTAGCGGCGCTGGTGACGATGATTACAGCGGCGACGGCACGGCCGGTGACGGCGCCGATGCTAATCACGCCGACGACGGTGACGGCGTCCTCGCGTCGGTGATGAAGGTTTCGCAAGGAATTCGACATGCGCGCGCGGCCGACGCGCAATAATAGGTCGCATGGTGTTAATTGACACGGATCGTTCTCCCCCAGCGCGTGCGCGAGGGCGTGCGAATGATTTCGGCATGCGGCGCGAGAGGCCCGTTTGGCAGAGCTCCATGAACAAAGGTTAAGCCATTGCACATAAGATGTAGATCGGCAATTACGGAAAATATTTCGCAAGAGCGCGAACGTGTTTTTTTGTTGCTGGTTTTGTTGTTGTTCTTTTTTTTTCATCATAAGAAACTATATTTGCATTTTCTATATTTACCAGTTTTCGAACCATAACAATTCAATTAACTATGAAACTGATGTTGCGAAACCATGTGCTCTGATATGTTTTTTCGACACTCGGTTTTGCAATCGTTGCGACACCGAAGGTTTTTGACGGATTTATCCATGCGCGCGCGACGACGCGCGCGTGCGCACTTCATCACATTTTGTTGCAATGGGTTCTCGCAGCAGCACTCGCGCAAGGGCGGCTAAACGGTTTTGACATGCGCGCGAGCGAAGCCCTTTTGGTAATATGTTTTGAAAAGTTTGAAAACCCGTGGTTTCCTTGGTAGTTCGTAACAGCGCGCCAGCTTCGCTTGAACATCCGTGTTGCGAAAGCCTGTGCTATATGGGTACACATGTAGTTTGGATACAAGGGTTCCTTGAAGGATTTTGGCATGCGCGCGAGACGACGCGCGCGCGTACATGTCGCTCCATTTGTTGAAAGGGAATTCTTGGAACTTGCTGGTTTTGGATAAACGAATGTGCGCGCATAGTTTTTGGGCGAGAATGGTGGGGGGCCTGGGGCGGATTCCGGTTCTGTTGGGATGATCTGAATTCATCGTTCGGATGGACGGTGTGGCAGACTTTTAGGTACATTGCAATACGGGAAAGTGGCAGCCCCCCCCAACACGCGCGCAAGGACGCGCGAATGATTTCGGCATGCGGCGGGAGAGGCCCGTTGGCAGAATTCTACGAACATGTTGAAACACTTTTGGTTTTCCTAAGAGTTCGGACGAGCGCGAGTGCAGTTTTTGGTGTTGTTGTTGTTGTTGTTGTTGTTGTTGAAAACTGTTGATGCGCAACTCTGTTTTTTTTAATATGGTTTCGAGACGCTCGGTTTTGAAGTCCTTAAGGTTTTGGACGGATTGCGGAATGCGCGCGCGACGACGCTCGTGTGCGCACTTCGTCTTATTTATACAAAATTTAAAGGTCTTTGAAGGATTCTGGCGTGCGCGCGCGACGACGCACGCGTGTCCACTGCGTCATTTTTCTGTGAAGAGTTCTTGCGACAGCACCCGCGCAAGGGCGATCGAACGATTTCCACATCCGCGCGCGAAAGGCCAGTTTGGCAACATTTTATGACATTGTTGGTAAACGCGTGGTTCCCGTAAGAAACTGCAAGAGCACGGGCGCAGGTTTTTGTTGTTGTTGAAAATGTTTGTTGCGAAACCATTTTTTGTTTGTGTATGTTCGCGCGCCGTCGCGCCGTCGCTTGTGTGCATTTCGCACGACGTGCTGCAAAAAGGGTTCTTGCAAACTAAGGATGCTTGATCAAGGGGTGTGCGCGCATAGTATTTGTTGCAAGGGGTGAAAAGCGGGGGGTACCAGCCTGCCTGGGATGGTACGAGTTCATACTCAGGATGGACGATGTATCATAATCGCATGTAAATTGCACATCCCCAAGGGGTCCCGATAAGTTTGGGGGTGGGGTGGGGGGTCGATTCTCATATCCCCATGGAAAAAATATATGTGGTGCAAGACATGCAGTGCAATCAATGTTGCACAACTTGCGCTGTTCAATCTATGTGGCGCGGTATCATTTGATACATCCGCCATACGGTCCTACATTGTACAATCGGTGTTGGCTTTATCTGTGGTGCAATCCATGTTGAACCGTATACGTAGGGCAATCACTGCCGTGCAATCTGCGTGGCTCAATACATGCGATTGTGCAGTACATACTGTGCAACCTATGTGGTGCAACTCACTTTGACCGTCTTGAAGCTGTCCTCTCCACTGCTCGTGCAAACATCCCATCCTCCCAACCGCAACTTGGTCGCAAGACATCTTAAGACAAGACCGTGACGGTAGGTACCAGATGGCACTTGGCCACGACGCCGACGACGACAGCGACAACGACGACGACGGCGCCGCCGACACCGACGATGACGACACCGACGACGTCTCCAACGACTTCGACGACGACAGCGACCACGACGACGACGACACCGACGACGACGACGACGCCGACGACGACGACGGTGACAACGACGACGACGCCGACGACGACGACGCCGACGACGACGACGACGAAGACAACGACGACGACGACAACGACGTCGCAAACGAAGACGACGAGGGAGGAGGGAGGACGACGACGGCGACAACGACGACAACGACGACAACGACGAGGGAGGAGGGAGGACGGCGACGACGCGAACGACGAAGAAGGAGGAAGGACGGCGACGCCGACGAAGACAACGACGAGGGAGGAAGGAAGACGCCGACGACGCAAGAGCGCGCGCGCACGCTTTTATTGAAAATCCGTGTTGCGAAACCTTGGGTTTTTTTGTAGGTTTTATGGACACACGATTTTGAAATCCTTTCGAAACCGATGGGTTTTGAAGGAGTTCGGCATACGCGCGCGACGACGCGCGCGTCTGCACTTCGTCCCGTTTTTTGCAGAGGAATCTCGCGACGGCACACGCGCAAGCGCGTTCGACAGATTTCGACATGGGCGCGCGCGAAGCCCGTTTAATAGGATTTTGTGAAAATCTTGAAAAACCTATGGTTTTCTTAAGCTTTCGCAAGGGCTCGCCTAGAAGCTTTTTTAGCAAATCAGTGTTGCGAAACCCTGTGTTTATGTATGTTTTTTGGAAGCTCGATTGCGAAATCCTTCCGGCACCGAAGGTTTTTGAAGGATTTCGGCATGCGCGCGCGACGACGCGCGCGTGTGCACTTCGTCCCTTTTTTTGCAAGGGATTCGTGAAACAGTCTTATGTTAGAACAAAAACTGTCCCCGCGTATCGTTTTTTACAAGGGAACCTCAGGGGGGGATACTGGTTGGCCTGGGACAGTGTGATTTCATATTTAGGATGGACATGTGGTCAGAATCGTTTGTGATTTACATACCCGAAAGGGGTAGCGATATTTCCGGGGGGAGGGGTAGAGTGTATTCTCTTTTTAGAAAGGAGAATCAATGTTTTGCAATATTCTTGGTGCCATCTGTGTTGTGAACGATCAAGAGCGCGCCGCATGCGCGACCATTTCTTTGTGCAAGCTACGTGGTGCAATCCAACGGCGGCGACGGGCGGCGACGAGGCGGCCACGGGGCGGCGAAGGCGGCCACAGCCGCCAGACCGAAGACACGGCCCAGACGACGGGCGGCGACGGGGAGGCGACGGCGGCCACATGCGGTCAGGCCGAAGACCGTCCCGGTTCCTTGGAGCAGGGTTGAGGACCCCGAAGTGCAGGCACTGTTAGGATGATCCAGCCATCAAGCCAACCTTGCGCCATCTCGGACGCTCTGATCCTGGAAGAGGAAGCGCCTTGAACAACCTACGTACGTCCCGAATGGATGGTGGGATTTTATTTGCAGTGGTGGGCAGGCAGACAACATGGGACGGAATCTGATGGTCATGTTCCGCGGCAAGAAGACTAGCTTGTTCGATTTCTGGGACAAGGAGATCACACAGCACGTAATCAAGGACACGCCTCTGTTGCATCATGTCGAGGTACAGTAAGGGCAGGCACGCAATTAGAGTGCTGATGATTTCCTTGTCTCCTGTGTCTTATTGCATCTTCGCTTCTCCTCGTTGCATGGTCACTGGTCACGCACATCTCTGCACCTTGGTATATGTCTTTCTCATTGCCAGCTTTCTCTTTGTTTACCTACACATGGATCGTCTAGAATTATTCCAGGGATGTTTGGATATCGAAAGCCTATCATTACTTTGTTGCCCAAGGATTAGTTTCTGCGTTTTCCTGGCAATCCTGGAACAACGCGCATTCAACCGCCCAAGAGGGAGGGTAACGTGGCCGAGTCGAAGTCAGGAGTATCTGCTACTTGTGTCCGTTCATTGTCATCGAGGGCCCGCCGGTCCACCGACCGCTTATTTCCCGACATAATTGTGCCGAAGGGGGACGTGGCGCTGCAACCCCGTAGCGTGGCATGTGTGCGGCGTTGCGCCGGTGTTGCGTTGTTTTTTGGGGGGGCCAGTTGGAGGAGTTGAGTAGGCGTGAATTCAAAACTGTCCGGGCGGGGTGCGTGGATCCCAGCGGGCCGTCGTGAGCTGGAAGGTGGATGAGCATCAGTGATGCACAGGGTTGACGCCTGTCAAACCGAAGCTGGGATCAGCCTCAGCAGCACCCCAGAATCAAGAACTTGAGAGCCCCTCGTAGACATCTTGACGCCATCATGGGTGTGTCCAGGGGGCCTTTTTGGAATCTTTGGGGCTCTCTCGTGGTGTTCTTGGGATTCGCATGTAGGTCTTTGGAGCTCTCTTGGCCTCCTCCTCCTCCTCCTCCTCCTCCTCCTCCTCCCCTCTTCGATGCCTCGTTGCCTCGCTATTTGCCTCGTCGCCTTCGCGCCTCCTGGTGGCTCGTGAGACTGACTTCGTCGGGCGCTCGCTGCCCGCCCCGGTGCCTCGTATGCCTTCGCCTCCTGCTGCTCCACTGCGCCGGTGCCTCCCCGCCACGGGAGCACGGCAGGCCCACGTCGTGTCCACCCGCGGCGTCCCCGCCGGCGTCCAACGTGGAACGCCGCCAGCGACCCAGAGTCGGTCGATGTTGAACGATCGGACGTTGCGGGAACGACCGATCGTGCAAGGTTGAACGATCCCCGCGGTGTCAGGAGCCAACGCTGGGGTCTATACGGTACGAACCTGCCGTAGGCACCCGGGGTCCGACTCCGCGAGTCGATGGGTAGCCAGATCGTTGCCTCGTTGTCCTGTAGCCCTCATTGAGTACCCTCGCTGCCTTCGCTGCCGTGGGTGGATTAGGAGCGCGCCTGGGATCGGGTTTCATGTGGCACTTGTTTCTAGGCCGATGTCTGGTTGCCTGGCTGCCCCGTCGCCGGTGTTGTGTTTTTTCTGCTGGGCGGCACCGCCGATCCCATTTTCGCGCGGTGCTGGTTTCCCGATTCGTTGTCTCATTGCTATCGTTGCCTTCGCTGCCTGGTTGCTGCGTTCGATTTGACTCCGTCGAGCGATTCTCTGGCAAAACGTGCTTACTATCTGTCGCAGTCAGAGTGTATTTTGCAGGATCGTGGAATTTTGTACTGGTGTTTTTTTACGCCGTCACTGCTGTCTGCTCGTGCACCCCGAGCGGCTGCTCTGATTTTCCCAGGGCAGTCATCTACCCGGCTCGAATATGCCTCCAAAAAAGCCAAGCATTCGCCAGCAGCGTGCGACGAACAAGCGCCTGTGTGACACCTCTTCGGCGCCATATTGGCCGTTCAGTATGCACGTTGCACGTGACTGGCAAGATGGCAGCGCGCACGCGACTAGCATTCAGCAGTAGTGCAGAACGCACATAGCAAGCATCTTCGCACGCAGTCTAGCCGCACTGGTCAGATCTTTTGCAGATCTGCGGAATGCAATCATGACATGTCTACCGCGGACTAGGCATGCGTCCAGCAATCACGAAACAGTAATGCGTAGCGCATGCTGGTAAGTATGAGACGAGCTTCCAGCATCATATCTTCAGGCACAAGGTTCGCGGGGGGCATTTGTCCATCTGACGCGCGCGAGCACATCACACTTTAGGTAATTTGTCGGCGGATTTGGCAGCCGCATCCCATGCGGCTGAGCAGCAGCGGAGATAACAGGTGTGAGAGATCTTCTGATCACGTATTGCGTGCGTCTTGCTGGTGCAGAGGGTCAAACCAGCAGCAGGATGAACTTTTTGTTTTTACATTGAAGGCGGCGATGCAGATACACCGTGTACGCTGACTTCTGCTCGAACCCTTGTACATGTGCCTACTGCTAGCGGTTCCCAAATGCGAAAGTACGGAGCAGGCGAGTGCCATGTGTGGCATGCGGCCTTGAGGCGTTAGGTCGGGGGTTCACCTTGATGTATGCGGTGGCGCTTCCTGGTGCCCTTGCCTTCGCCAACCTGCCCTTCGCTTTGCCTAGGAGGCTCTACCTTCCACCCTGCTTCCCTTCCTTCGCCTAGTTATTTTTGCCCTGACGAGGGCGACGACGACGACGATGGCGGCGACGACGACGACGACGATGACGACGACGATGGGCGGCGGCGGCGGCGACGACGACAAAGACGACGATTGCCTCCTGCCCTCGCACATCTGCATCGGCCTTCGCGCCTCTGGCGCCCAGGAGAGCCCCAACTTCTGGTGGGGCGGCTGGACGCACGTGCAGCGGACCCGAGTCGAGTACGAGAAGGACCTGCCGGCGTTTTCGAAACAACACGCCCAGGTGCAACGACTAGAAGATGGCGCAGACGCGCTCCCCGCGCCCCCAATTTCAATGCTCATCTAATCGAGAAGGCAGCGGTTTGCAGATGTGGGCGTTTCTTTCGACATGACTCGCACTCCCCGCGTCGACCGCCCCGAAGTTTGAATCTGGGGCCCGGGGGTTGGGTCCGCTCCAGCGCGCATCAATGAGGAGCGTTTTTTTTGAGAACCACGGTGCCTCAGGGGCTGGACAGGTATCCGCCGCGTGCATGTCCAGAGCAGAGGCTGTTCTGAGCCTCGCCCCCTCTGCTCGCGGACTTCTCCCGCCCTCCTCGTCCGTCCAACATACATACACATTTGTATGTATGCATGTATGTATGTATGCATGTATGTATGTATGCATGTATGTATGTGTGTATGTATGTATGTATGCATGCATGCATGTATGTATGTATGTATGTATAAATGAATGTATGTAATGTATGTATGTATGCATGCATGCATGTATGTATGTATGTATGCATGTATGTACGTATCCATACAGCGCAGCCCCCCCCAGCACCCACTCTTACCAGCTTTCGCTTCCTCATCGTCCTTCCCCTCTCTTCCTGTGGATCGCCCTCGGGGGGCAGCGCGAGCTCTGTTCGAGTGGCCATGCGGGCCAAGCAACATAATCGTCGTACAGAAATGTCGCGACGACGACGCTTAGAAGCCTTCAGTAGCCCGGTTGGTGTGTTCAGTTGATTTCCTAGAGCAGCCTTGAGTCCTTCCCGTCGTCGTCTTCCTCCTTATCCTCATCCCCATCCTCTTCTTCTTCCCCTTCCTCCTCCTCCTCCTCCTCCGCCGCCTCCTCCTCCTCCTCCTCTTTCTCCCCCTCACCCCTCACCCTTCCCATACCTTTCACCCATCTTCCTCCTCCTCCTCCCCCGCCACCCTCATCCTCGCACATCGTCTTCCTCACCCTCCTCATCCTCCGCCTCTTCCTACTCATCCTCATCCTTTTGCGGAGGAATCCTTGTGTATTGGCCTTCAATCGAATTCCTGTTCGTAGAGGCTCTCACTAGGAATCCATTTCTAGAGGCTTTCAATAGGAATCCTTTTGTAGAGGCTCTCACTAGGAATCCTTTTGTAGAGGCTCTCAATAGGAATCCTTTCGTGGAGGCTCTCAATGGGAATCCTTTTGTAGAGGCTCTCAATAGGAATCCTTTTGTATTGGCTTCCAACGGGAATCGTTTTGTAGAGGCTCTCAATAGGAAGCCTTTTTTGTCGGGGCTCCCAATAGGAATCATTGTGCATGGGCTTTCAATCGGAATCCTTGCGTAGAGGCTCTCAATGGGAATCCTTTTGTCCAGGTTCTCAATAGGAATCCTTCTTGCACAGCCTCTCAATCGGAATCCATGTGTATTGGCTTTCAATAGGAATCCTTTTTGTAGAGGCTCTCACTAGGAATCCCCGTGTAGAGGTTTTCGGTAGGAATCCTTTTGTGGAGGCTCTCATAGGAATCTTTTTGTCGAGGCTCTCTATAGGAATCCTTTCGTGGAGGCTCTCAATGGGGATCCTTATGTAGAGGCTCTCAGCAGGAATCCTTTTGTATTGGCATCCAATAGGAATCCTGGTGTGGAGGCTCTCAATAGGAAGACTTTTTGTCGGGTCTCTCAATGGGAATCCTTTTGCATTGGCCTTCAATGGGAATCCTGTTGCCGAGGCTCTCAATAGGTCAGGGTGCGCGAGGTCAGGGGTCACCAAACCTCGTGTTTTCATACAGTTGTTTTTTTGGATTTCTGGGATGGTAATCAACGAAACCCTGTGTTTTCATTTGGATTTTTGAAATTTTGGGGATTTCAGGTCCCGACGAAACCTGCGCCGCCGCTCCTCCCCCAGGTCGGCGCCCTCAGAATCCTAAAAATCTCAATGAAAACACAGGGTGCGCGAAGTCAAGGGTCACCAAACCCTGTGTTTTTCGTTTGGATTTTTGGGATTTCTGGGTCATCAAAATCATGTGTTTTCATTTGGATTTTTTGGATTCTGAGGGCGCCGACTTCGGAGAGCGCCGGCGGTGAAGTTTTCGATTGGGCCTGAAATCCAAAAAAATCAAAAAAATCCGAATGAAAACAGAGGGGTTCGTTGATTTCATTTCCATCACAGAAATCCGAAACATCCAAATGAAAACACAGGGTTTGGTGACCCTTGACTTCGCGCACCCTGTGTTTTCATTGAGATTTTAGGATTCTGAGGGCGCCGACCTGGGGGAGGAGCGGCGGTGCAGGTTTCGTCGGGACCTGAAATCCCCAAAATTTCAAAAATCCAAATGAAAACACAGGGTTTCGTTGATTACCATCCCAGAAATCCCAAAAATATTAATGAAAACGCGAGGTTTGGTGACCCCTGACCTCGTGCACCCTGACCTATTGAGAGCCTCGGCAAAAGGATTCCTTTTGAAAGCCAATGCAAAAGGATTCCAATTGAGAGCCCCGACAAAAAGGCTTCCTATTGAGAGCCTCTACAAAAGGATTCCTATTTGAAGCCAATACAAAGGGATTCCTACTGAGAGCCTCTACACAAGGATTCCATTGAGAGCCTCCACGAAAGGATTCCTATGGAGAGCCTCGACAAAAAAAATCCTATAAGAGCCTCTACAGAAGGATTCCCACCGAAAACTTCTACAAAGGGATTCCTAGTGATAGCTTCTACAAAAAGGATTCCTATTGAAAGCCAACAGACATGTATTCCGATTGAGAGCCTGTGCAAGAAGGATTCCTATTGAGAACCTCGACAAAAGGATTCCCATGGAGAGCCTCTACGCAAGGATTCCGATTGAAAGCCCATGCACAATGATTCCTATTGGGAGCCCCGACAAAAAGGCTTCCTATTGAGAGCCTCTACAAAACGATTCCTGTTGGAAGCCAATACAAAAGGATTCCTATTGAGAGCCTCTACAAAAGGATTCCCATTGAGAGCCTCCGCGAAAGGATTCCTATTGAGAGCCTCAAAGGATTCCTATTGAGAGCCTCTAAACACAGGGTTCGGTGACTCCTGACCTCGCGCACCCAGTGTTTTGATTTGGATATTTGGGATTCTGGGGGCGCCGACCTGGGGGAGGAGCGGCGGTGCAGGTTTCGTCGGGGCCTGAAGCCCTAATCTTAAAGAAATCCGAATGAAAACGCATGTTTTCGTTGATTTCCATCCCAGAAATAACAAAAATCCAAATGAAAACGCAGGGTTTGGTGACCCCTGACCTCGCGCACCCGGTGTTTTCATTTAGATTTTTTGGATTCTGGGGGCGCCGACCTGGGGGAGGAGCGGCGGTGCAGGTTTCGTCGGGGCCTGAAACCCCAAAATCTCAAAATCCAAATGAAAACGCAGGCTTTCGTTGATTTCCATTCCAGAAATCCAACACATCCAAATGAAGACACAGGGTTTGGTGATCCGGCGTGTTGGTGCGTTGGTTCTTACAAGCTGATGTCCTCCGTCGGGGAGGATGGTGTCCTTTGGCCTTCCGCTGCGCGCTGTGGCAGAGCGCGCGCCACGCCGCCGTCAGATGTGAGAGAAAAGAGCTGACGCTGGCATGCTGGGAAAGCGAATGCAGAGATTGGGAGAGAATGAGGGAGGCAGAAAAGGATGTGATAAGAGAAGAAGAGGCAAACGAGAAGGATGTTAGTAAACACGTTGGCCGAGAATGCTGCGAAGAGTGGGTGCTGGGGGGTGCTGTCCATCTATACATATATATACATATGTATATGTATATGTATATGTATATGTACTTGTATATGTATAGGTCTTGGCATCTGTATATGTGTAGATATAGGTATATGTATTTGCGTATATGTATATGTATATGTGTGTGTATGTAGATGTATGTGTATATGTTTATGTTCATGTGCATGTATATATGAATGTAGGTGTTTGTGTATGTTTATGTATGCGCATATGTTTATCCACGGGTATACGCACATATTTATGTATACACATATGTATTTGTATTTGTATATTTATATCTGTATATGTATATGTCTATGTCTATGTATATGTATTTGTCTATGCATATTTCTGCTTATGTATATGTATATGTACATGCATATGTACATGTATATGCATATGTGTATGTACATGTATATGTATATGTATACGTATATGTATTTGTAAATGTATACACATGTATATATATGTGTGTATATATATGTATATGTGTATGTGCATGTACATATAATTGCACATACTCATGCGTATGTATATGTATGTGTATTTGCATATGTATAGGTATATGCATACGTATATGTATATGTACATATATGTGAATATGAACATGAATTTGTATATGTATAGTTATGTGCATATGTATATCTAAATCTATTTGTATACGTATATGTATTTGTAGGTGTGTACGTAGGAATGTACGTTTGTATGTATGCATATATGTATCTATGTATGTATGTATACATGCATGTAGGTAAATATTTAAGTCTGTATGTATGTATGTACGCACATATACATACGACTCCCGCCCTTATCGTGCGTGCTCCTGCTCACGGAGTGCCGCGCGGTCGATCCCTGCCAGCGCGCGTGCCTCTGCGCCTGCCCGACCTTCCGGGTGCGCTTGTCCGCGAACGCCCGGGGCGTGCAGGCGCGCGGCGGGCGTAGTTTTGGTGCCCGACCATCGGGGAACGACGAATGACATAAACGTCCAAGCTCGGACCCTGAGATCCCGGCGATGCATTTCTTTCGAGCCGGGCGTTTTCGCGTCATTTCGGGCCCTGGGACCCTCGCAGACCGATCTGGCTTGAGAAATGGCGCAGAAAGACAGGGTCTAGGGCTCCAGGCTCGAATTTTCACGGCGTCTCAATTTTTTTGAGACGTCGGATCTCAGGGGAGGTCCGCGCGGATTTCTCGGATCCGCGCTGGGGCCCCCCTCCCTGGCGCGCGGAGCGCGCCAGGGGCGGTGCCGGAGGCGCTGCCAGGAGGGTCCAGCGCCGATCCGAGAAGTCCTCGCGGACTTCCGAGTTTTTAGGTTGATGTTATGGCTCGTCCCCCTGAACCAGGCAGGGGGTGCGGACGGGGCTGCGTCTGGAACCGCGGCGGTCTCTGACGGTGGATCGGTCGTGTCCATGGCCCCCTGGCTTCCTCTCGGCGGCGAGCCCGGGGGAAAACGAGAAGGGGCGGGCCTGTTCAGAGGGCTCTGAAGTCCCCTGGGCCTTCTGAGAAGTTTTCGAACCCTTCCCCGAATGCACGGGAAACTTCTCAGAAGGCTGCGGGGCTTCTGAGGAGTGCCGCCGTCTTCTGAAGAGGCCTTCTCCTTCTCGCTTCCCCTCCCTCGCTCGCCGCCCATCTTCGGCCCGAGGGGGCTCAGGGGGAAACTCCGCCGAAGCTGCACGGAGCGTGTGCGGGGGACCGGGGTCGGGGGCCCCTTGGCCGGGGCCGCGGCCGCAGACTGAGCGGGACATCCCTGGACCAGGGCCCCAGGTTCAAAGCTTGCCCTCCGCTGGCCCAGTATCTTAATGGCCCTGCTGCGCCCGTGCTGGAACGTAACACGTGCCGTGCTTACAACCTCCGCGTTGGCACCCTCCGTGTTGGCTCGGCACGTGTTGCCCCACGTTTGGGCGAGCGTCGCGCGCCAGACCTACCTGTTCGGTCTACGTGTTGAGCTCCGTGTCGACACGCTACGGGCTCCGTGTTGCGTGTCGGGGCAGCTGAGCCCAGGATCGTCCTCCAGGCGGCCCAAGATTCTTACAAGGCGGCCCGAGAACACCGCCCAGCAAGGAGCCAAGGCTGCGCTTGAAGCTTCCCAAGATGCGCCAAGAGCTCCTGCGAGGCCCCCGAGAGGGCCAAATCTTTGAGTGTGGTTTATGAGTGGATCTGAGCGTTGCTGCGAAGCGGCGTTTTCCTTTTCCCCTCAGGGTGGGGCGCGGGGTGTCGCTGCACCTGCGCGCTCCCGCGGGGCGCGGCGGGCGTGGAGTGCGTCGCGCGCCCGCCCCGCAGGTGCGGGCCTACCCGAGCGGCGCTCCCCGCGCTCTCCCCCAACCCCTGAGCTGTCTCGGGAAGCGTTTTTGTGGCTGCTGTTTGAATCCCCGGTGCGCCCAAGATGGGCCAGGACTTCCAATATCGACCCGGGAGAGCCCCAAATGGCACGCGAGGGCCCCAGGGCGGCCCCAAGACTGCCCCAGAGGGACCCGATGGCGGCTCTTATCGGCCCCAGGATGCCTTACGATGGAGGTCAAGAGGGACCCATGACGGCCGCAAGAGGCCCCCTATCGAATCGGCCTCGGGAGGCTCGAGACGGCCCAAGAGGGCGCCAAGACAGCCCAACAGGGCCCCGAGACGGCCCAAGAAAGGCCATACGGCCCCCGCGAAGGCCCAAGAGGGCCCCCCGAAGAGCTGCGAGACAGCCCCAAGATGGCCTAATCGGGCCCTCAGAGTTTTGTCCAGAGTCGAGTGATGTTTCACTGATTGCCACCCTCACGTGTGTTCTGTTTCCACCGCGTTTTTCCATATAAAGTTTCTGCCGAAGGCAGGTGCTGGCAGTGATTTGCCGTACCCTCCTCCTTCTCACTCTACCCTCCTCCTCATCCTTCCTCCTTCTCCTTTCTCCTCCTTCTCGCCGTCCCTATCCCTGCATATTCCTTTTTCTTTTCGACACCCTCCTCCTCGCTCTTGCCTCCTCCAGCTCAAGATGTCACAAGAGTGCGCCGAGATGATCTATCAATCGTGACAACCAATTTGCGCACTGATGCGGTCATGGCTGTAATTTCCAACTTTCGGGGTCTCAGTAGCTCCATGGCCTGCGTCTACAGAGGCCCTGAATGACCTGAAGGCGCCACCGAGACCCTGCGACTCTGGGTTACTCTGGCAGTGGCGCGCAATCTAGCTAAAACTTGTGCGTGCGCGAAGCGCGCAACGGTTCTTTTTGCAGGATAGGTCCGAGTGGCTTTGCGTTTGCTGCTGCCAAGCCCGCTGCTGCTCGTTCTTTCGGCGTTCTCCGTCCGCTCCTTTGCATAGCGAGCAGCAGCGTTAGGCCGACCAGCGACCTTGGCCGCATGGTCTTTCCAGACACGGTGTGCGAATGAAGCACTTCTCGTTCCCAACCCGATCCAACCCAGCCAAAGAAGGCTGCGAGAGGGGCCTGGCATTCAGCCGCGCGGCCGACCTGTGTCGTTTCAAGGCCTTGGGCTTTCCTTACCTGGCTTCTGTGCTGTCCTGGGTGGGATCGGCACAGGACTCGGTGACTCCGTTTTTTGTTGCAACCAGCTTCGCATGAAACGCAACCCAGGAGGAGGAGGAAGAGGAGGAAGAGGAGGAGGAGGAGGAGGAGGAGGAGGAGGAGGAGGAGGAGGAGGTTGACGAGGTGCATTACTTTTGCATGGGGGCAGGATGGCAGGTATGGAATTGCAGTGTAGATGTGAGCGCAAGGTACGGCGTCTTCGTGTTGGACTCGTGCGCGCTCGATGCGTTGTTCCGACCTAGTATTGATCGGAAGACGACGAAAGCCTTGGAGAACCACGAAACACCAAAGGCAACGAGGAATGAGGAAAAGGCGCACAGAAGGAAGAGGAGGCTGAGACGAGCAGCAGTGAGACGATTGCGTTTGGAGGGCCGCGCTGTTTCACACTCCTAGCTTGCAAGGTCTGGTGACACTTGCTCCACCAACGTGGGGACTTCGAGGCCTTCGGGACTACCCAGAGGTTTTCAGAACTGTCGATCTCGCTAACCCTCAGACAGGGAAGCCACCGATCCCTCCCCCACCGATTCAAGCGCAGCGGGTATCGGCACGTTGCGTGGAAGTGCGGGAGGACGGTGACGCCTTCAAGCAAGACGGCGTGGCTCTTTTCACCACGTGGGCCGACGAGGTTGCCCGGTACACCTGTGAGAACATTTACAAGATCCCGACCCATGGCAGGCAGGCCTGCCTCAGTCATTGGAACAGGAACGGCAAAGGTTTTACGGCGGGTTCGTGCCGCCTCGACGCGGCAGCGACGATGGCGCGGGTGCTCAAATGTGAAGGCACATGGCGGCCCGAACCGGGTCAGCCTTGGATAATTTTCGCTGGCAGACGGCGGAGATCGCTCAATATTGAATGGTTCACGCTCACGCGGTGTCAGAAATTAGCGTTCGTGTCGTCGCGACAGCCGAAGAAGCAGGGGAGGAAAATCCACCCGGACCCGACAATTGGAGTTTACTAAACGGCCTTGGGAGTTTACTAAACAGCCTTGCCATGTTCGATTCCTTCTTCGGGCGCGTTTACTAAACGACTTCGCGTGTCTGGATGGTTATTATGGGGGGTGGATTTTCTGACTTCTAGAAGAAGCCGTTCGAAGGCTGAGCATCTCTGGGAAAACGTGGGCCTGGAGGCAAAGGACGTTTCCAGGTGCGTGTTGCCTTCGGGGCGCGCGCGGACCTGGGCTCTTCTCGCCTCTCCGCCACCCGTGCTCGCCACCTCGATGCCTCAGGCGGTGGTCGCTCCTTAAGAGGGCCTTGCCTTCGAGGGATCGAGGGCTTGGCGTCTCACCCTCGGCGGAAGCCAGCGGAGGTAAAAGGTGCCCCCAAGCGAAGCCAACGCTGGCGTACCCGATGCTTCCAGAGGCAACCACCAGACGACGACTCGGCCGCCCGCCGGCCCATCGCTTCGGAGCCACGCCCCGGGACTTCGAGGAGTGCTGGATGTGGCCATCTGTCCGCCCCTGCGGGCTGCACAGCACGCGGCGGCAGATCTTCTGGCGGGTGCACTTCGGCGGCGCAGGCGATGGCAGAAGCCCGCGGGAGGAGGCGTTCCGTCGCTGCCGCGGCCGTCGTGCCGAAGTTCACCTGCCCACGCGGCGCTCGGTCTCGTGCGGACCGCCTCTCCTCGGGAGACCAGGCGGGGCGAGGACGAGGATTACTCCGCTCCAGAGCGTTCCAGAACGCTCTCGGAGCGTTCCGTGGCGCTTTGACAGGGCCGAGGCGCAGGAGACATCCTCCGGGGCCGCCCGATCTCAGAGATCCCCGCTCTATCCTCACCCGATCTTATCGTCGTCCTGGATTCGTCTTGGGAGGGGCAACGCTGCGTTCACGACCACAGCGGGCCCGCACGGGCTCGGCCCGCCCGAGGTCGTGGCCCGAGGGCGGGTGGTCAGTGGATGACCTAATAATGATGCTGATGATGATGATGGCCGATGATGATGATGATGATGATGATGATGATGATGATGATGATGATGATGATGATGATGATGATGATGATGATGATGATGATGATGATGATGATGATGATGATGATGATGATGATGATGATGATGATGATGATGATGATGATGATGATGATGATGATGATGATGATGATGATGATGATGATGATGATGATGATGATGATGATGATGATGATGATGATGATGATGATGATGATGATGATGATGATGATGATGATGATGATGATGATGATGATGATGATGATGATGATGAGGATGAGGGTGAGGGTGAGGGTGAGGGTGAGGGTGAGGGTGAAGGTGAGGGTGATGGTGATGGTGATGGTGATGGTGATGATGATGATGATGATGATGATGATGATGATGATGATGATGATGATGAGGAGGAGGAGGAGGAGGAGGAGGAGGAGGAGGAGGAGGAGGAGGAGAGAGGCGGGAGCATGCCGAAGGGGGTGGGCCCGGGACAGCTCCAGGAGGGCGCTAAGCCTCGCCCCCGAGGTTTGGCCGTGCTCGCGCTAACGCATTGCTTCGGCGCTGGGCCCCTCCTCCTCCTCTTCCTCCTCCTCCTCCTCCTCCTCCCTCCTCCTCCTCCTCTTCCTTTTTTGACGTTGAGCAAACTTAAATCCCTGGGTTTCCTCCTCCTCCTCGTCCTCGTCCTCCTCCTCCTCCTCCTCCTCCTCCTCCGCCGCCCCCTCCTCCTCCTCCTCCTCCTCCTCCTCCTCCTCCAACACGGATCCAGGGGGCGCCCCCCGCGGCAGGCCGAGGGTGAAAGGCCCGGCGGCCCTGCGTCCATCTAGAACCCCGCAGGGGCCCGGAGCGCTGCGAGCAGCAGGAGCCGCTGCTGCTTTGGACCTGGACCCCAGCGGCTCTACCTTCTGTGCCATACTCCTCTTCGGTCCTCCTCCTTCAACCTAGGCCTTCTAGATGGTGTCAGAGTAGATGGGGTCGGAGGATCGCGCTGCATCGCGGATGCATCGCCGATGCGGCTCGATGTGCAGCTCGATTTGCTTCACTTCGACGTCGGCGATGCATCGTCGACGACGACGATGCATCGCCGGTGCATCACCCATGCATCGCCGATGTATCGGCGATGCGGCGCAATCCTCCGACCCCTTCGACTCCACCCCTATCTAGGAGGCCACTAGATAGGAAGAGGGGGAAGTACTTAAGTGGTTGCGGGCGGGTGCTTGCTCGAGTTTCCCCCTGTGATCCCAAGCCTCAAAGATATTGGCGGTTTACAGCCTGTGTGGGGCGGCCGCGGCAATCCAGGCCTCGGTGTAGGAGTCGTAGCTGCAACGGGTCTCGCTTTCAGAAATCGTGCCCTCCCGTCTCTCGTGAAGGGTTATGCAAACAGCGGCGGTTGCTGCGTTGTGCGATGGGAGCAGCTACCCTGCTGCTTCGGCATCGGTGCCGCTGGTAGCCGTTGGGAGAAATTGTGGATGCGGCCTTCACGCTGGACGTCCCCGTAGCAGAATGTGGGAAACTGCGAAATACATACGCTCCCTCTCCTGGTGGGTGGGACAAGGAGGATATTCACGTCTCGCATGCACATGGGAGTCAAGGTGCCCTCGTCGGGCACCATACGGCCCTTGCAGAGGTTGCAGGTGCGTCTAGACCTAGCCCGCAGCCTGGCGCCGAGGTCGTCCGCTTGGCTGGCACCGGCCCCAGTGGTCCCAGATCCCTCAGCCTCGGATTCGTGGGAGGATGCTTGGGAGATGTCCAGCGAAGGTGGGACCGCCCCAGCGCTGTGGGTACTCGCTGGATGCGCACTGGGAGTTGGGAGGCGTGGCCCTTCTGGCCCAGGAGCGGGGATCCCGCCGGCGAGTGCAGGCACGCGCCGCGTGCCTGGGCCCTGCTCCGCCGTGGGGGAGGATCTTGAGGAGGAGGAGGAGGAGGAGGAGGAGGAGGAGGAGGAGGAGGAGGAGGAGGAGGAAGAGGAGGACATTGACGATCTTGAGGAGGAGGAGGAGGAGGAGGCGGAGGAGGCGGAGGAGGAGGAGGAGGAGGAGGAGGAGGAGGGAGGAGGAGGAGGAGGAGGAGGATATTGAGGGAGGAGGAGGAAGAGGAGGAGGAGGTCGTGGCACCTGTTCCGGCCGGGGCGCCGGCACCGTCGACTCTCGCTCTCGGCGTCAGTCGCCTCGGCGGCGACTGGCGGGTGGTCCGCCGCGCCAGTGACGTCCTCGTCGACGTGGCAGGCCCCCAGGCCCCTGGGCAGCCTGGCAGAGGGTGGCACCCTCGGAGCCTTCGCAGCCGTGTCCGCGTCCGCGTCACGGACGAGGTCCACACGGCAGTGCCGGTTCTTAGTGGTTGTGCCGTCTATGTTGTCCGCTGTTTTCGTAGCTGGCTCGGCGGTATCGTATGAGACTGTCGCCGATTGGTTCGGGATCTCGATTGCCGTGGTGATGCCGAAGAGTAAGAAGATCGCCTAAACGCCGGAGAGGTCGAGTCCCTGGTCACAACCGATGCGGATTTGATGGAGTCTTCGATCGTGCTCGAGGTGGTGGCCGAGGCGGCCGAGGAGGTGCTTTCGACCTTGGCGGCCTGAGGAGGTGGTCGAGGACACGGTGCGCCCAGCGCAGTTACTTACGACGGTTATTATCAGCGTCCGACATCAGCACGGACATGAACTTCGTCGTCGTCGTCGTCGTCGCGTCATCGTCGTCGTCGTCGTCGTCGTCGTCGTCGCCGCTCCTCGTCGTCGTCGTCGTCGTCGTCGTCGTCGTCGCCCGCTTGTCACGGTGCCGAGGCTTCCTCTGCGCAAGGCCCAGAGCGGCGGCGCTTGACACAGGCGCCGAGGTGGACCCGGGTCGCGCCTCTGCCTCCTCCTCCTCCTCCTCCTCTTCCTCCTCCTCCTCCTCCTCCTCCTCCTGAACAACGCTCGGCAGCTGTGCCGAGGTGGACTGAGGCCGACAAACTCTGGCGGAGCCCGTGGTCCCAGCGCTACGGCACCTGACATCGAAGAAGAAAAAGCGCCATAAACATAAACTTTTGGCGCTCCGCGTGGATTTCCTGGATCCGCGCTGGGCCACCCCAGCGGCGCCTCCGGCGCCGCCCCTGGCACGCTCCGCGCGCTAGGGAGGTGTGCCCAGCGCAGATCCACGAAATCCACGCGGAGCTCCATTTTTTTTTTTTTTTTTCTTTTCTCTTCTTCTTCTATGACACAGGCGTCGCGGTTGGCTGTGTCCCGTGGGCCCGTGATTGTGCCTTTCGGCTTGCGCCAGGCCCTCTTACGCTGCGGGTATGTTGGCCTCGAGCGCGAGGGGGCCCCTCCCTCTGCTGAGGTTCCCGCAGTTGGCCGTCGCTACTGTTGGCTTCCGCTGGGTCCTCCCCTATCTGCGGGCTCTCTGGTCTCTTGGGCCCAGTGCCCCAGCGGGCGCGCTGGGTACGTACTCCCCCGTGGAGTTGCCCACTGTTGATACTGCGGCGTAGCTGCAGCTGCAGTTGGCGTCGAGGTAGGCGGGCAAGTACTGCGGTCGCCAGGTGTAGTCGCTCTGGAGGGCGGCGATGTTGGAGTTCTTCTGGACTTTCCTTTTGAAGGCAGCTGTGATGATAGACGTAGTCTCGGCGTCTGTTGCGAAGGCCTTACGGCTGGTGCCGCCGACCCTGAAGGGGGACGACACCGACGGCGGCGGCGGCGACGACGACGACGCAGACGTGGGCCTGAGTCCTCAGGGATGCTTCTTGGGGTCTCTTGGGAAAGCTATCGGGGGCCTCTGGGGAGGAATTTTTGAGTCTCGTGGGAGCCTCGGGGGGCCTCTTGGGAGCCTCTTCGGGGCCTCTTCGGGTTTCCTGGGGGCTTCTTGTGGGCCTATTTGGGCTTCTTGTGAACCTCCTGGGTCCCCCTGGGAGCTTCTCGGGGCCGAGGGCTCGAAATGTCCGTTCGGGTCCCCCGTCTGGGCACGCTCTTGGAACCGTCTTGGGGGCCTCTTGGGCCGTCTTGGAGGCGTTTTGGGCTGTCTTGGGGTCCTCTTGGGCTGTTTTGGAGCGCTCTTGGAAGCCTCTTGGGCCGTCTTGGGGCGATATTGAGGACCTCTTGGGCCGTCCTGGAGCGGCGGGGAGCGGAAAAGGCGAGAACGCCCAGCACCGCACCGACGCCAGCATGAGCGCCTACGATGGCACCCGCATCGACGCCAGCGCCGACGCCAGCACCGACCCCAGCACGTACATCAGCATGGACCCTACGGACATCAGCATGGAGAAACGTAGTGTTCGTTCCGCTCGAAGCGTCATGGAAGGAGGACGGGGAGCGGTTCGGCGGGGGTAAGTGAGCCAGTAGTGAGCGCAATATGTTGTTTTTCCTGGCTTGCCCATCCGGTGTGCACAGGCTGCTGTTATTTCAGTTTTCCCTTTCCTTTCCCCCTCCCCTCCCTTCCTTCTCCCCCGCTCCCCCGACCCTTGTACGGTATGTTTTTTGAGGTGCGCGTGCATGATCCGGGCACTCCCGCCGGGTCGGCCGTTGTTACTCAGCGAGCCTCCAGCGACCGCCGGTTGGAGCCGCCTTTGCAGTGTATTTGTTCGTTTGTTGTTTTGTCCGCTGCCCGGCTCCACTCCTTGCTGCGTCCTCCCTCCTCCTTCCTCCTCCCCCGCCCCTCTCCTCAGCTGTCTGGTGTCATTCAGTTGGTCGCTCTCCCCCGTCTGGGCTGCGACCGCTTCGACAAACTGCGTGCTCAGTACACGAAGCTTGGCGATACGAATCTGGGCAATTTTTGTATCGGCCTTCATTCTTCTCCTCCTCCTCCTCCTTGTCGCGCTCGCTCCCTGTTCGAACGGGGTCCAGGTTTCGAGAGCTAGGACTGGCATCTTTTGCGTGGGGCGCAGTGCGGTTGGCCCAAATTCTCTCTCCGCCGTCGGCTTCCGTCTGATGGGATGGTCGCCACGGGAGCGTGGTCGTTCATTCGTCTTTGCCGCCCGAGGCCCTCAACACTCACTGGGACCCCCGAGATCTCTAAGAGGCCCCCCCCCCACAAAAAATGTTTCAAAAACTTACAAAATCAAAGCAGTTTGCCTCTTGGGGCCCTCTCGGGAATGCTCTTGAAAGCCTACTGGGGCCTCGTGGAGGTCTCCTGGGAAGGGTAGAGAGCGCGAAGGCGTTTTGGACAGATGGTTTGGCGATTGGGGTCCTTCTTGGACCGTATCGGGGGCCTCATGGGGCACTCTTGGCCTGCCTTGGTAATTTTGGCGGCCCTGGGGCCCCCAGGGTGGGAAGCGTATCTCACCCCCCCATTCCCCCCGAGGGGACAGCGTATCTGGGTGGCGACCCCCCTCCCGGGACCCCCCCCCTCCCCCGGCGGGGACGGGATCAAAGGGAAGGGGCTTCCCTTCGATTCGATTACGACATTGCTAGATTGTTCTCTCGCTGACAGGCTGGAGGAGGAGGGTGCAGGGAAAGGGGACGATGAAGACGGCGACTGACGGAGACGACGACTCGAACAGACAAGCCCCTCGCACACGTCGACAGGGTCGGCGGAAATTATTGGGACGCACGGTCGCGTCTTTCCGCAGGCCGTTAGTCATCCTGCGAGATATGGTCGACTCTAGCGATGTGTCCTCTTCCCTGTTGGCCATCTCGCTAGAGCTCATCTCTGGCGGTTGGTCCGAGTAGGTGTGCGACAGCCGACAGTCTTCGCGCTGGCGGGCGTCCGCTGGTTGCCGTCGTCGTACTGAGGGCGGCCGAGTGCCCTGGCCCAAGACCTCGACGACGTCCTTCAACAGGATGCCACCTCTGGTGCTGGCAGCGAGGCCATCTCGTAGCAGGTGATGCCAAACGTGTCCCCGCCGTTTGTCGCGGGCGACTTGGCCGCACCCGCCGCGGCCGCCCTGTGCTCCTCTTGCTCGTCGTCGTCGTCGTCCTCCTCCTCCTTCTCCTCCTCCTTCCCGTCCTTCTCCTACTCGGCCTCCTTCTGCCCTCGTTGTTCTTCCCCCCCTCCTTCCCCTTCCCCTTCCCCTTCTAGTCTCGTTGATTATGCTGCTGCTGCTGCTCCTCCTCCTCCTCCTCCTCCTCCTCCTTACCCCCGTTCCCCTCCTCCTGCTTGTCTTCTGCTCTTCTCCTCCGCGTGCTCGTGTGGGCGCTTCCCTTCCCTTTCTCGTGAGTTCGATGATCTCCTCCTCCTCCTCCTCCTCCTCCTCCTCCGCCTCCTTGTTTTCGTGCTGCGGGGGTGGGGCGCCGGGCAGCGGAAGCGATGGCCGACGGCGCTTCGCTTCGCGCGCGTCTCGGCGAGCGAGTCCCGCGCAGGCCCATCATGGACGAGGTGACCGGTGGAGTTTTCAAGGTGGACGAGGCCCTCTACGAGATGTGGAAGCGCGAGATGCTGAGCAAGATGCTGGTGAGAGGCTTTGGAGTTGCTTTGCCGCTCGGATCCCCGAGCTCTTTGCGCATCGTGACCTGGGGGGCTGATTGTGATTCCGATGGTGGAGGGAATGACGAGGTAGTCCACCAGTCCAGGACCACTGCACAGATTTGCTACCAAAGCTGTGCACACTATGTTGTGCATACTATGTTGTAGATCTACATCTGCGTACAGCTGCATTCGGCCCGACGCGAAGCCACACATGTACCGAACGCTGCACCCATCCCCTCCGACCTCCTTGCCACCCGAACGGTGATCTTATAGGTAACGGGGAGGAAGAGCGCGGAGGCCTGCCTCGCGTGCTTCCGAGGTGGCGGGCGCTCGCACGGCGATCGTCCTGAACTCCATCCTCCAACAGAAG